AACCCAATCTGTGTAGAATGCATTGAACAGATTTCGGGCTCATCCCACCAGCTTTGGCCACTTCTGCAGTCATTAATCTGGGATCCATTTCGATGCTTTTCTTGACAGCCCTTTTGTCCTCTCCAATGGACCAGGACGACCCGGAAGCTGCTCAGTTGTTTCCTGAACCGCACGATGATTTTGTTGACTGTCGAAAGCGGGATTCCCAAATTCTGTGAAATTTGCCACTGACTTATTTCACCATCTGCTTGACCAACTATCCTTCCGCTAACAAAATCTGACAATTCGAGAGAACCTTGAGTTCTAGGCATGTTGTAGCACAAGATTATTAGTGTACGGACCATTTTCATTTATATAATGCTCTGTGAACACAAATTAGTTAGCATAAATCAGTTAAATGACGAAAAATTAGGTGTCTATTTACTTGTGACCACTCAGTGTATATGAATATATTTTTAAATATTAGCTTAATTTTTTAAGAAGTGTTGGTTTAAGTTAATGCATATGGCAGCATATAAACAAACTGATGCCACAAACTATACTTGCTTATCTTTTGATCTTCCATGATGGTAATTCTTAGCCAATCCTTGACATTTATCCATTTCTTGCTTCCTTAGATAAACTAAATTTTTCACAGTTAGTATTGGAGAAAAGTATTATGTAAAAATGAATTTCAAGATATAGTAAATATTTAATATGCATATGCTCATAATTTCTATTATTTATTCCCAAGATAAATAATTCCAGCAATTTCTTCCCAAAAGCAGCATACTTAACCGTAGTTTGTTTTAGACTTGAATATTAACTCAGTCTCTTTGACATTCCATTTTGTTTTATTTTCCTTTTGGCCAAAATGCTAAATGGTTCACTCTGTTCTTCCCTGATGGCCATGTGCAATAAAAATGTAAACAATTTTGAGTTACAAATATTGCAGTAGTAGTTAGATTTTTTTTTGAATCACCTTAGTGTGTTCAATCAAGATTACAAATATACGAACACATTTACTCCATTAAGAAGAAACGAATTAGTTATTATCTCTGTAAATTATAGCAATTCTGGAAAATGTTTGTTTGTTTTTTCAAAGAAACCGCAGTGTATTTTATTGTGTTACAAATAAGTGTCAGTAGGTCAGTATTTTTAAACTTTTTTAACAATAGACTGATTTATCTGGTATATGACAAATGTAATTATATGTCACATTTATCAGGAGCTACCTTCTGTTTTGTGTTTATACATTTTTGTTTTATGATTTTAAAAAAATGTTATGTAACAGTTAAGTCCTACTTAAAAACTTTTATTGATTTAATATGAATCAAAACACAACAGTGATATGGTACTGCTTCTTTTTTGGTCATTGATAATGAACAATTTGTAGTCTTAGAAGGTTAGTTTTGAAGATTAAGTCAGTTATGATGATCCTCAGAACATAAAATACCTCATAATTTAATAGTCCAAGTACAATGTTTTGTATTTTTAAAAACGTT